ACCTCTACTACTACCTCTACTACTACGACTATGACGACGACGACTACTCGTGCTGCTTTCCGATCATGATGGTTCATGAGCTCTGCTTCAGAAACCGCTGTTGTGACTGTCAGACGTCGATAGTGTCGAGAGGTTAGCTCTAAAGCACTATTAGCGACAATAGAACCTCAGACATACAATGACTCTCGAGCCTTCTCTGCCTGCATGGGATGGACTTCGGAAACAGTGCACCCCTGACAAAACACATCCACTACAAGCTTCTCCCAGTGGCGCAAGGAACGCAAAGTCTTGTCAGAGAGCGCTTGGAGCACCTTTAAGCACATGTGCACAGAATTTCTTTTAGGGGCATTCTGGAGCTCTGTTTCGGATTTGGTCTCGGGCGTCGAGGGTGGAAAGGTCTAAAGAAGTGGATAAAAAGTGCGGAGCGCAAACACAGCAAGTTGAAGTCTCCAGCACCCTGGGCCCAACAGCTTATGTAGCTACTTAGTTACTGGCTCAGCTTCCAGGCAAGACTGGAGATCCGGTTGCATAAGGTCTTGAATACTACCAAAGCACTGACCAGCAACACACAGGCAATCTCAGCTAATACAGCCTCAGAAATGCTGTCACAGGGTTTTAGAGTTCTTGCAGCGTCAAGACAGCGTTTCGGGCTTTCGGGCCTCCATCGGCCCAGCATCCTCTGCCGAACGATGCAGCCAAAGGCGTCGAACTGCTGTTCCCATCACTGACCGAACCTCGACGAACCACAGTGCCAAGTGCCAGCAAAGGGCTACGACGGATTCTGCCTGGGGTGTATGACCTTGAGTTATATAACAGGTTTTTGAGAATGCGTGCTGTGATGTTGCTCGCCTCATGCTGCCGCTGCGGCCGAATGCTGAGTGCCACTTCCGCCAGATCAAGATAAAGCAGAAAGTCACTCTGAGTCTGTACGGTGAGTATCCTCTCTACAAACTCCGTAGACTGCGCACTGCAACAGGCTGGCCGGTTTTCTCGTAGTCCGACCATCGAGGTCCGTTCGGCCCCGAAACTCGTCGAGGGACCCCGGCTTACTCGAGCCCTACGACAGCAACCCTTTCGTCCGAGGGTCTTTACAAGTGATGGACACGAACTCTAGCCCAACCAGGCCAGGCCAGTCGTTCAGCGGTCCTGGCACAAGGCATATCGCTTAAGCGCGACAGTGCTCGCCGCAACAATCGAAAGGTAGCCGAGGTGGGTATATAGACTCGGGTTTCTCCAAATCCTGCCATGGTGGTGGGAGTGTTGAAGTGGCAGTGATGGTAGTGCGTAGTTTGATCTGCGGCGGCAGCAGTCAGCAGAAGCAGCAACACGACTCCAAGTACCAGCAAGCCACAATTTGTGGCTGCCTCTATCCCATCCCATGCCTTAGACCTTCGTTACTAAGAGCAAGCCGCAGTCCTGACAGAATCCAGCTGCCATGTTCGTTTTGATCCTGCAGCTGGAGACATGTGGCAAGCGGCCGACAAGGGTCAGAGAGCTGATGTAAAGTGAACCCCCGCCGACTATCGCAGAACATGCCGATGTCGCCATTCTCTGACCTAAAACCACACTAACAGCTGCCCTGGAGGAGAACCTGCTAATAAGTTCTAGCTTCGACACTGGGCAAGGAGAACGGTGACATGTTCCATGCCTGTGAGGCTGCTCCCATGTTGCTGGTGAGGTGAATTCATGGATACCTCTAGTATACCTCAATGATATCCGAGGCCCCCTGCGGTGATGATGCAAAAAGTCCGGCGCTTTCAAAAGCATGCGTTACCAGCTTGTAGACCCTCGCCTGCTAAATACCAGCCCAGTGGCCAAGGACGCCTGCAGGTCAGAGATCTTGATGTGCGGAAAGGGCCGGCATGCTTTCAAAAAGCCCGGGGCAGTGCAGTGCTTCCTGTGCGGAGTTGATCTGTTCTGCACTAGTGGCTTCCTTCGTGGAGTTTCATTTCAGGTGGTGAATAGGGGGTGCTACCAGTAGAACTCTTTTTCAAATATAGGTATTGAAAGAAGTCTGCCATAGTAGGCACGAAAAACGACCAGAAGATGCAAGGCCAGAAAACAAAATCACCGTACAATATCGCAAGGGAGATTCTTCCGCAATGATGTGAGCTGCGTGTATATGCGTGTATGTATATAGATAGGTAGATGGATAGATACATACTACAAAACACATCCTTGTATGGGGCTACAATGCGATTCTGGTACAACGAGACTGCAAATGCTAGTTAATTGCTTCAGCCTCGAAGATACTCTTTGGGGGTTCATAGGTTTAGATGCTGAAATTGACAAGCTGCTTGTGGAAGAAGTCGTCTCCCACAATTTGAGCGTGCCATTTGTATCCCTGCCGCGTGTCTGCGGACAACTCCTCACAGCCAGAAAGAGGTTTCGTGCACCGGCATAGGTACGATAGCAACCAAGTTCATGATAATACCGATAATAATCAGTCATTAACACTACGAAGAACTGCCAATAACAGTACTATGACTATATTATTTTATCATAATCTTAATGATGGTAGTAATAATACGAAAAAGGAAGAACAACAAATGTACTAGCCACAAGACTCCGAATAATGAAAACTAATTCTGCCCTCCTGTAGAACTATACAGAATGCCTTCTTCGTCGGCTTCGGACAATTTCCCAATCGGCACAGATATACCAGTACTAAGTCTAAGTCTAGGCTTCACGTTCCGCGGTCTTGGAGGCTGTCCCGAAAGGTCGACACTGTCAAAGCGCTCGAAAGCTTCCAACTGATAGCAAGATCCCTCCTGCGCTGCAGTGACCGGCATATCCTGAGTGGATGGGCTGGGCTTCCCCGTAAAACTCGCCTACATGGCACCCGTCTAGCTGCATCCAAGCCAAAGAGCAACAGCAACAAGTACCAAAAGTTCTATGCACTCTTCATTGCCTAAAAAACCCTCACTGTAGAAGTACAGCCGCCACAGATTCAGTGACTTTTTACTGTACGCATGGTCTAATCGCATTGTACTGACCTGTGTCTACTGGATAATGGGATAATGCCATCCTTGCCAAATAGCTCGTCACTGAATGGAGACCAGGGCTCCGTGAAGCCCACGAGCGAAATGGCAACTAAAAGTCCAGAACAGGTGCTAGGTTCCGGTGGCTCAAGCAAAACATCCAGCTCGGATGTTTGGTTTAGGCCGTGCAGAGTATATCTAGACTCCATTGGATTTGCATGGTGCAAATGCACCCTTTCGCCCTCGAGTATAGGTTCCACAGGTCTCGAGGAAGGCAGGAATGTACTTCACGGGAGCAGCCCATGCAGGCAAGCTGCCTTCACACCTTCCACATCCTCCACGGGCATTGGCTCGTGGTGGTCCCCATATTCGGATCCTTGCTTAGGCTTTGACTTCGGCAACAAAGTCGCTCTACCACTGTGCAAGGGCAACGGACTGACTCGCCTTCTGCTAAGCTACGGCTGTAGGATTCGAAGAGCCCAACTTTCGCGGCCGGCATCCTACAGGCTGCGGCCAAGCATCCATCCGAGTCGTCTCCATCCGGATGCAGAGGTGCCTGCAAGCTGGCCAAAGAGGCCATAGGACACATCCGAGCTAGGAACCTTTGAAGCCTTACGGTCTCGACTCCGGTCCGGGGGTGGGTGGCCCTGTAAGGACAGCCATACTGGTATCTGCGACCAAGGCAAGAACCCACTTGCATGTGCGTGTATAGGCTATAAGGATACTGTTTTCACACATCAACAAGCAAGAACAACAAACTCCTTCCAAACAACCAGACCCAAGCATGACTTCTGGTGCATGCCCGGGCCGGCCTTTGGATTGGACACCGGGGTATTGATCCGAGAAGGCGCCCCACAACCTCGCGACCGAAGGGTTTTTGGATATTCTTGGCGGTACGATTTGCTTCCCATCTTTCTTTTCTGCCCAGTAAAAAGCAAGCCGCAGCGCTAGTCAATGCAAGGGTTCTGTTGCCCCAAACATGTATCTCCCCCCGTCAGCTGTCCGGCAGGCCAAAGTCCCGTCGGTTTGATCGACAAGCAAGCAGCACCAAACTCGTGGAGTTCAACTGGCCCGGTGCAGTTACAGCAGACAAGCAAACTCTTCCCGAAACGCTACAATCGTGCGATGCACAAGCCAGACCGAAGATGGGCAACACCTATATGGGAGTTTTCGAAAACAGGGGACCCTAATATGGTACCCTGAATACTAGGATCCTTACTATAAGGACCCCAAAATAAGGTACCCCTAATTTTCGGAAACTCCCATATAACCTATATACCCAGCCCAACTCGACTAACACAGCATAACACCGTAAAACCACAGCTGAGTTTCTGGCCGCTCGTGTACAACTTCTTAGCTGGCAGCACTAAAAATCCATTCGTAAGCACACCGCATATGTATCCGGACAACCTGAACCCCAAGTATGCCCAAGTCATACTCTAGAGTCTACCGACCCTATATATGTCCGAAGTCGTGACTGCTCAAGCTTGGCAAAGGGACCCATGGTCGGTTGGCTTCGGAAGCCTCTGTGCCTTAAGCGGCACCCAGTGACATCAGCATTGACCAACACGAACTCAGCTGCAAAGCAGCTTCTTCAGCTTGAAGTTAAGGAGCCCTCCAGCAGGTTTATGCAGGTTTTGGGACTGTGGCTGGCTTCTCATGTGGCTTTGTCGCCGCTGGGGCCGGGGGTGCATGTTCCTGCGGACTCCTGGGTGGGTTTGGACGGGGTATGTATGGACTGACGTGAAAGCTTGAACAAAAAGCGCGGTCAAACGAAAGCGAGTGAACACCCGGCAAGCAAGGATCGGAACGAAGATCCGCTGTCAGAATCATTCATTACGCCCTCGAGTCCAAGAAACCGAGCCCAACACCCAAAAACCATCACTTCGGCACTAAAGCAGTAAACCCTAAACCCATGACACTTGGTCTAGGCCCGGCAATGACCATTTCATGAAAGCCACGGCACCGAGAAGCCAAAGGGATGCAACCGAAAGCAACTCAGGGGAGTAAGGCGCTCGCAGGCAGGGCGTTGGACCCGTCCACGTTTGGAAGCACCTGAGCTGCGCACAAGCGGTGTTGAACCCGACCACGTTCGTACATCCACACCCCGCTTCGCAAAACTCACGGTCGAAACCTCCGAAAGGAGGATGATGCCAACCACGCAAGTTGGGGGAGGATGAAACACAAGCAGCCACCAGCTTCCACGAGATGCTCCTACTGAAGAGACGACTGCCTACCGCAAGCTATGTGGATGTATCCTCAAGTTCTATGCCTCAGGACGACGGCGGCCCAACTGCTAGGAGCCGAGACTTGCTTGGAAGGGAATGGCTTCTGTGGCTTGATGCCAAGGAAGTTCAAGGCGTCTGTTTTTATGCTGTTGTTGCATCGATCTTTGAAAATTACACCTAACACTAAACCCTCCTGCAATTCTCTTCAACATGGTTGTGTTGCGAATCACCACAGAAATGGCCGGTCAGCAAAGGGCCCGGCCGTAAGACCCTCCAGTTGGACCTGGCTACTGTTGTCCTGCAAGCGCACGGAATGGTGCTTAAACTTGGTGCAAGGGTTTTTTCCTTTCCTACCTAGCAGATGCAGGGGTTTAAGGTTTAGGTTTTTTTCCCCACCCGCCCGGCTGAACGATGTCGCACCGCAGGGAACTCGTCCGAAGCTACCGAAAGAGTTAAAGAGGATGCCAGGGGGTGTGCGAGCTCTAAGCAGAAAGGCCCAGGAGCAAAAACACAATCATAAGGGAAGTGAGACTTCGCATACCTGCAGGACCCTTGAGACCTAGCAGGCCGCAGAAAAAGAGGAAGCCGACTAGCCCGAACGAAGCCCTAGATAACCAAACAGCTCACTTATCTACCCTGCAAGCAGCCCTTATTATACAAGACATGTTATGTACCTCCAGGGACAGACACATATGTATTAACTTAATGAACTTGTCGGCAGAAAGCACAAACTCTACAGTTACAGGCGTTCAACCTTGGACAGTTGGACAGCCTTCAAGACTTGGCTCAGAATCTAGCGCAGTGTGCTTGGAAATGCTCGTCTTTCTTGCTGGGGAAATTCTCCTATACCACCACAATCACAGAGGTTTCGCGGAGGTGTGGCTGGGGTTCAGGGGCTGAGGGCTTGCAACTTCAACTTTACCATTATCCCTGGAAGCCCTGCCCGAGACTCTACGCGCTGCAACGCTGAGCCGCACACACCATGAGCCCGAAACCTAAACCGTGCTGATCTAGCTAGCGTGCAAGCCCCCGAAGCCCAAAACGTAAAATCGTATAAGTCTATAAGCCTTGGACACTTAACGCGAAGGCGAGGATAAGGCTTCTAACATCACACAAACTATAAAAGTAGGACCTCGCTTCAACTGAGGTCTTACACACGAGTCCTGGAATCGATCAAGCTTCAAGATATAAAAGAAACAAGTTTATAGTGAACAACCAAAATGCCAGACCGCCTCAACCGAAAACAAAACTACCCATCGGCTGCATAGTAGTTCCTTCTCCGGATTACGTTATTATAGGGTTCTAAATATGGACTCCCAAATGAACTACTCCGGAGTCTGGAGCCTATGGGTAGCCTTGTGGCTAAATACCGACGTTGGTCGCCCTGGAGATCTCCTCTCGACCCTGTGCGCCCGCGAAGACGGCAAGGCGCTCAAGCCGCCTTGTAAATCCTGGTAGTAGCATAAGGGGCCGAAATTAGAATAGGATTTCGTTCTACGATTTTCTACAAACATTGGAGTGTATATAGGACTATACACGGGGAATACCGCCACGAATCATTCCGACCCTTATATTGAGGGTTGAAGGTATCGGGTTTCGGCGCTTACTGGGACCAAGCGTTCAGGATATAGTGCAACCGTAAGGATTCGGCGCTCAATCTCGGGCACTTGCGGTTGGGCTTGGGCCTCTGGATTGTCTAAGATGCGAAGTCCATTGATGTATATCGGGCGTAAAGGACTTGCTGGAAGCCTCTCTTTGTCCGACTGCAGGCTTTAGGTTTGACAGGTTTGAGGCTTGGAGTCTAAACCCAGGGCCTAGAGGAGTTACACTTTCGGCTGATTTCGGTAGCGGCAGAGGGGCTTAGGCCTAATTAGGCAGGGAACTCGCACCGTTCCGGACGGAGGTCTGGTATGAGCATGTGTTGGGGTCTTTCAGTTGGAAATCTAGACGATATCTATACAAAGCTGGTTTCTGTCGAGGACTGGATGCTGATCTCTGGTTTGGGACAAGACGAGAAGGAGCTGTGGCCTCCGCTTGGAAAACTAGGATTTCGGTGTACTCCCAGGGATGTGGCGTCAAGAGCTTTGAAGCTCCAAGGGTTCAGCGTCTATAGGACTCGGACAGGCTATTGATGGGTCGATTTTTGGATTTTTTGGCACTGCCGGATTTCCATGGAATGCCTGGCTGTTCATTGCAATTAAATGAAGCGCTCTTCACTGTATGTCGCTTGGGATAGCCTAGTTATGGTGATGTTTCTGCGCCTCAAAAGTGGAATGCTTCGCAGTTGCGAAGCCTGCGATTGTTTGACACTCACTCTCGGGCAAGGCTGGCGAGGTCTGAGTAGGTTCGGCGAATATCGTTATCAGCCCATTCCTGCGATTCCAACCCGAGGGCCCGGCGAGTGTAACTGCAAAGCTGCCCTTCTTGGGCCTCGATTGCAGAATGCGTGCACAATGAAGGCTTCTTGGGGTGGCCACTCTTTGCAACAAAGAAGTCACCCTGGGAGCACTGGCCAAGGCAAGTCCGTGTTTCTTTGGAGATTTAAAGCTTCGGCTTCGAGGCTTTGGGGATCCATTTGCACAGGCTTGTTCACCTCTTGGGGTCCATTGCTCAAGGTGAAGCTTCCAGATGACATCGCTGCAGGGTGTCGGTCAAGGATTGCAAAATACACAACTCTAGTTGCCGACATCATGGAGATCCAGAAAGCCATGGGCCCGCGCAGTCCTGGCAGCCCTGAATCCCATCCACAATGCAGCTGCAAGCCAGGAGTTTTGAGTGCCGGAAGCCACTTTTCATCTCAGGATCCTGCCGCTAGGGCAGCTTTCGTCTCGGCCGCCACCTGTCCGCTGCTTAGGGGAAGGCGGGCAACTCAGAGTACTTGAACAAATCGGCCAGACGTGATACCCCAGACCATAAGCCCCATAGGCCCAGCACAATGAGGTTAGTTGGGAGTAGTGACATTACGTATCAAGATTCGACTAAAGCATTTATTGTCTGACATGCTGCCAGCAGGTATTGAAAACATGTACTTTGGTTCGATTCGGTGATACTGGTTTGAGACGTTGCTGTGTGGCTTGTTCTACTCCTCCTCTTCCTCCTACTACTGCTGCTGCTACTGCTACTGCTACTGCTACTGCTACTGCTACTGCTAGCTACTGCTACTGCTACTGCTACTGCTACTACTGCTACTACTGCTACTACTGCTACTACTACTACTGCTACTACTACTACTACTACTACTATACTACTACTACTAATAATAATAATAATAAATAGTGCTAGTACCTGTACTGGTACCGGTACAACTAACTGGGGAAGACCATGGGATGTAGGGTTGGGTTCTCGCTCTCTCTCTTTCTGCCGGATGGGTGTGTAAGTCCTGCGACCCACATTCAGCTAGCAGCGATCCCAAAACCAAGCTCGTGGCTTATGCCCTAAGCCACCCCCGCATTCAGGAACTGAAAAGCCCAAACTGGCACTGCCAGACTCATTAATATAGGGGCCTTAATAATTATAGGGTTTTGGAGCCCACTATACTCTAAGGAACTTCCATTATGGCTGAGGTAATATTAGGAATCATTTAGGTCAATAGATTAGACTGCTTAGCTATCGGAAAAACCTAGCCTTCTTGGTGATGGCTGCGATCTCTTCCTCACCTTCCGCAAAGATTTCGGATGATTTCGGCTTTCGGAACCCGGACGAAGCCACTCCAAAGTTTAGAGAGACTGACTGTAGGGAGCACCTTCCTAGAGAATGCACCTGAGAGTGGAACTGATGCTAAGAACGGGACGAGATTCAGGACTGGCCGGCGAAAGAAAGTTCGCCGTTGTGCAAAGAGGATATGCATCGTCCGGGTTATTTGCGAAGTAGAACTGCTGGGATAGACTGCGCGGAAGCGTGGACTTGTATGTGAAGCGCAAGTCCCGAGCCTGAGAGTGTTCATGCTATAACCGTCGCCGAAAGCAAAATCAATAAGCTACGATAGCTCCACCTCTCGCTACTGATCCTGTCATTCCTCGCCTGGGAAAGCACTGAGCGTCCGGCCACTCGCTGTGGCAAGGAGGTCCTCCAATCGCTGCTGCTGCTCCTCCCAAACTTGGTTCCATTTGGGAGTTTCCGAAAATGGGGGATCCTCATATGGTACTCTAAATAGTAGGATCCTTATGATAATGGCCCCAAAATAAGGTACCCCTAATTTTCGGAAACTCCCATTTTCAATGCTTTCGACTTTGAGGCCTCGTGTAAGCTTGGGTTTCGGCGCTCACACTCGGACAATCCAGGCGAGGCATATGGCTAGGGTTTAGGGTTGAGGGTTTAGGCCACCATCAAGCATGACAAGCCTTGTGGCATATGCACGAGACAGGAACTAAAGGCAAATGCATGTTCTGTGGATTGATGCCACCGGTACCTGCTACATGCTCTTACCAGATTCACGATGAGTGAACAACGGAACCACCATAGTAAGCAAGAGTGGAAGCTGTATATCATATAGGTTCTGATAGCAAACTAGTCATCTAACTAAGAAGCGGTAATCCCTAGGGATCAAAATAGCCCAAAAGCCTTATAAAGCATGGTCTTCGGGCCCGAAAAACTTAATGTATGAGTCCTTCGATCCCTAGGGAATTATGCACTTACTGGGGAAGGGCATTGCCTGGCTGACAGAAGCAGAACACTGTGGATACACGGCTCAAAGCTGGGACCCAGGAAGGGAACAAAGCAGCCTTAATTATTAGAATAGGGTTTCGGGGGTATATCCTACTAGAATTATACTAAGGAACCCCTCCAAAAAATAGTATTGGTACTGGTTTAGGCTCCTGTATTACCCAGCTACGGGCTTAGCCGCGGAACCATGGCCATTCACACATCGGCGGTAAACCGAACAATGACCCTAAACACTACAGTAAACCCCATAAAGTTGGAAACCAGATTAAGGCCAAATAGTGCTGGGATTCCCTCTAGATGACTCTTAAGACTCTTAAGGATTGAGGCTATTGGGTTTCCAACTTTTGGGCTTCTACTGTAAACCCTAAGCTTGCCGTATGAATGCTATGGCAACAACAGCGACAGTACAACGCTAAATGCTCGGCCCCTAAGTCTTTGCATGGTCGGCAGGTAAAGGTGGCATGGCTGGCCGCACCGGAACATTCTCGTCTCGTGCTTGGGGTGGTCACGAACTACTGGTACGGTTCAGGGACACCCGAATCTCTGCCAGGTGAATGCGACCACCACCACCTTCGCTCAACTTAAGACTTCTGGTAGCAACCAGACAGGACCAGCCACAGTCATGACAGTCTCAGCGATGCCGATCGTCCTGCTGAAGCTTTCGCTGCGCTGCTGCCTCACATGCTACGCTGCTACGGGTCCCGATTTCTCAGCCCATGTAAGCATCCCTTGCATCAGTCATCAAAGCCCCATCGCCGAGGCGACCGAAGCCCCAAAACTGCGAAGGTTTTCGGATTCAGGTCTCAGCTTAAGTGCGGATGACCTTCTTGGGCCAAACGTGTCAACTCAGGTGCAGCTCACACGACAACTCCAGTGAGCTCCGGGCGATTTCGATGGCCTGTTTGGCCTCAGCACAGGTCCAAACTTCCAGATAAAGCAAAGCCAGCATGTTGGACGTGATGTGCTACGGGGTCTGGATGCGTGTGATGCCAGCTGCAACTAGTCATTCTGACCAGCCACCTACATTTCTTCGATACAGACTTCAGGAAGGCCAACATCGGCAAAAGCGGCACATGAGAATCAGCAATGAGTCCGATTACCCTGAAGGCAATCCCTGGCGTGCAACCTCAAGAAGCTGTTTCTCTCTCTTCTTCAGCTTAAACCCTTCAGAAAGCCCCGCGTTAAAGCTGAAAAGCAAAACAGAAAGCTCAGCATGCCTCACCTGTCGCAAACCTAGGGATACAATTAGGAGTTCATGACACTTCACATGGGAGTTTTCAAAAATAGGGGAACCTAGATAACACCCTAAATAGTAGGATCCTTATTATAAAGACCCCCAAATAAGGTCCCCCCAATTTTCGGAAACTCCCACATCCAGCCCGCAATCGCCTCTGCAGTTCACGACCTGCTTTATGAATCTTTCTGACGACTCCTGGCAAAACGCCGGCCTGGTGCTTCTGCAAACGGACATAGGATTTCCTCGATGGGCCTGGGGGCACAGGTCTCGGTTGGTGATGGCACATTCTGAATCTTACTTGGAGGTTCAGGGGTAGTTGTAAGTAGGGTTATAAGTCCCCTAATATGGGTTATATAAGTACAGTGACCCTACTTATAACCCACATATAACTACCCATGAACCTCCAAGTAAGAGTGAGTTGTAGACCAGTCTTATATGATGAAAGACTACGACGCTTCAGGAAGCAGGGTTTCGAACGGATCAAGTTGAGGTTCCTAATCTTTCCGGGCAAAGTCCCCAGCTGATTCCTGTACAACATGTTTATACTGTCGATATACTTCTACAATATATATATATATATATACACACACACATACAAACATACAAGTTTACGTGTACATATATACCTATATAGACACACATCTGTATGTGTATATCTCAAGCTTCAAAAACAGACCGGGAGCCGTGCAGGACACGACCAGGCCCGCCGGATTCCGGAAGTTGCCTGCTCGGGGGGGTAATGTAGGAACCTGACTAAGAAACCCTGGGTTTCTAAAACCCCAAGATAGTAGGATTCATATAAGGAACCCCAATAAAGAACCCAAGGTTTCTACTACGTTACGGAAGTTCAGCCGGCCCTGCAGGGTCTCTTTTTGAAGCAAGGGGCCACTGTGCCTGCGGGTCTTTCTAATAAGCAGCAGCCTGGTACTTAGGAGCCTAAAATACCCTAGCTTCTAAGTAGTTGTAATGGAAGAGGGTCTTGGGTAATTCTATTCGTGTTTGTAACAAGTAACCCTGTGGAATAGGGTTGGGACTTCTTCCGGCCCTTGTAGGCCAGGGCCCCACAGAGTTGTCCGGATGCACAAGATATGATATGCAGGTTCAATTCTGTGTTGTTCGAGCTCTTTTCCCCTGCCTAAGCGTCCGAACTCGGTATGCAGGATCATTCACGTTTCAGCTTCAGGGCTGTGCAGATGTTTTTGTGCGGGTCAGCTTCAGGGCTTGAGGGCCGAATGTTCGAGCTTCAAGGGCTTCAGGGCTGAAGACTTCGGCTAGGGCTTTGCTTGAATTATATAGGGTTTAGGGTTTAGGGTTTAGGGTGTAGCAGGAAGTGGCCAAAAATCAGCAGTCGGCACATCAGCTCTTCTTTTGCTTGGTCCTGGTGCAACACCACGGTCCACTGTCACCCGCCAACTCAGGTCGGCATAAGGGAATTTCCGAAAACAGGGCTCCCTTGATACAGTACCCCAAATAGTCGGATCCTTATTATAAGGACCCGAAAATAAGGTACCCCTAATTTGCGGAAACTCCAAACCCCCAACCCTAAACCTCTATAGAACTCTTACAGATCCCTGTAAGGAACCCTTCAAGGATCCCCTTAAATCCCTAAACCCTAAACCCCTTAAAGGTACCCCTAATCTTCGGAAACCGGCCTTGTCCTTTTTAGGGAAATAGACAGGGCCCTTTACCCTAGTCCCTTAATAATAAGCCCTTAAAGAAGGTACCTTAACCGATCTGTCTATTCTTTATTAGGGGACCATAACAAAGGACAACAGTGTCGGAAACTCCCATAAGAAACGGGGCGGCCCCCTCTTCAGGGCGGAAACGTGGGTTCACTTTACATCACCGTTACTGAGCCATGCAGTCCGTGGCCCGAATCCCCGACTTTTCTAAGTTGTTTATATATATAGAGTATCATATGTATATGTAGTTTAAAGTTTAGGGTATATTGCCAAAAAACTGTAAACCACAATTACTCATCCTACATTCCAAAGCCACAGGTCAGATAAGAGGGCATGACCACATGCTATTCAAATGGGACCTGCCCGCGTCTGTAACATTGCACAAGAGCTGGCCGGCTTCTTGGTGGGCTGTCGCCCATCATGCATCTACTCTCTGGTGCTTAGCAGGGACTGCGGGAATGGATTATGGGGACTAGTATTGGGGTTGAAACAGGGACTACTATAGGGATCCATTCCCCCAGTCCCTACGAAGCACCAGGGAGTCTAGGATTCTCGGAACAGGATAGATGCCCATCGGGACAGGGGCCCTTGCTTGCAGACGTGTCGTGCAGGCGGTTTGGTGGTTCTGATCTTGGGGGGCTTGGGACCCCCACCCCAAGTTTTCCAGAGCAAGATACAGGCATACAGGCATCTTCGACCAATAGAAACAAGAAGGCCAGTATTCTCGGACCCTCAAGAGTCCAGCACATTGAACCTAAAAGGCTCAGAATCATTCAAAGCACTGCTACAGGTCAGTGGACGACGCAGAGGCCGTCCGCGACCAAGCTTCCTGCTCGCAGTACGAATGCCTTCCACTACTCAGCTGCTCAAACAACCATGTACTGTGCTTGCATATATGCTACATATTAGTAAACACACACGGCATGAATGAAGTGAGTCAAGTCTTGCTTTTTGATTGTTTGACTTGTAATTTCTGCCACGATGAGAAACGAGCAAGGATAAAAGTCACAGAACAGCATGACGGCTTTGATCGCATGTGTTCGATGAATATCGTGCATATTCAACTAAAAAATGCCTGGCTGTGTCGTAAAGCAATCGCACACACAAACACACACGCACACACGCACGCACGCAAGCTTTCGGGTCCGTCCTGTCATTGGGGGAAGCTGGGCTATGTGAAGAAGATTCGGGAGCTTCAGGGTCCTACTATTTCGACCCCGCGAAGCAGGATCCAGTTCATGCAGCGAACCTTGACCACCGTTACAGAACCATTAGGAGATTTTTTAAAGCCCCATGCGCTGAGCTGCACCGTAAACTTCGGGGATGCACATCTCGCGTTGCAGGGAAGGGAGCTCGTGACATTCGCGCTGTAGGGGAAACTGTCATGGTGTTTCAGAACTCGGGCTGTGGATGCTTTTGGCAGAGTGTGGTATGCCAGACGGTGGCTTTCGAGAGTTTACGTTGTGCGGCTCCGATGACCATCCTGCACCGAGGTCACGTACATCGTCTTGGACCGCTTGTAGACCTAGCAGCACAAGCTTTCTACTAAGCTGGAGATCGGAAAGCTTGAGCTCTCCGGTCTTCAGGCATCTGATACATGTCGGGAATTGTCTCAGGATCATCCCCAGACCTAGTCGCCCAATGTTAGTGCCAACGGATTGCATGTCTTGCCTGTGCGCTGCACAAATTTCTAGTTTGTCTACACGACGTGGCTCCCCTGCCCCTGCATAACAACACGGGGCATCTAGTGCTGCCATCCTGAGTTCAGTGGATGCGAGGGGTGATGCTGCTGCGATGTCACGAAGACCACGACGACGACAAGGAACAAGGGTGCCTTGTACAGGAACAGCGGCAACATTGGTGATGGTGATGATGAAAGTACTGGCAGCGAAGCTGGTGGCGCTCTTGGTGTTGGTTCACGGTCAGATTCGTACATATCATCATCATGATGATCACCATCATCATCACCACCATGAACATCAATCACCAGCAAAGGCCTTCCAGGCCAGCAACAGCAGTAGCACCGCCCCAAGAAAATCGTTGTCCCAACCACCCCTTAAAGATTCACAGCAAAGTCGAGCCAGGGAGCTTGGGAAGATGAGGACATCAAAGAATTCGTGCAGCGCTGCATCCGATGCATCCTCATGTCCGAACAATTGCAGGAGTTCAGGCATCGGATTCTCGAGCCGTTGCCCTCATTTGTACTCGGACTTTGCCTTGTAAACGTAATCCAACAGAAACTCAAAATCCGAGCCTGATGAACCTTATGCGTCTTTCCATGGGTCGAGGGTCTCGGGGCCACCGGATGCCGAACTGAAGATCCCTCCAGCCTATCCTCGAAACTATGCCGAATGGTGGTGTCCAAACCTTCTGTCAACAAGCTCCCTACTTCCATCCGGCCCCGCCATTGCCAAGCAATTCAAGAGAGACCAGCACCAAGCCTAATCCTTTGGGTTCCAAGACGTTGAGAAACCCCAGATACCTTCTATAGCACATCCCGACAGAAATGACCCACATTGATGTACCGTGATGCAAAATCGCGAAGATCTCCCAAGCGCTATAAAATCCAACAGAACAAGTCTAAAAAAACCATATAGGCATCCTAACGATCGTGTGTGCAAAACTGCAATCAGCCTACAAGAAACCTCATCAACTTGAACCAAAGCGGTCGCTGAGTCCGATCAAAGCCCGGCTGAAACCGCTGGCCGAGAAACGAAAGTGCATCCCTGACCTGCGTTGGGCACCACAATGAATGCAAGAAGTGCTCGCAGTGCCAGTGTCCCGGGGCCCAAACAGATTTGGTGTGCCGGGGCTTAAGGGTATAGATGGTTGTTATACTATGATTACATCGGGGCAGTGATCTGCTATGTAGGGCAACTTAGCCTGTAGCGACCACGTGACATTGACCATATAAGTGTCATGGTCAGGCTGCAGTGTCGGGATTGGGCCGAAACGATTGTTGCACGTGTCGCAGTTGCACTCTTGGTTGCAGTGGCTTTTGGGACCGGGGCTGCTCCTGACCTGACAACTCACTGAGGTCCGGCATGGCACACACATCCAAAGGGGCGCACATGTGTGCACATGCGCGCACGCAATCCTACACGAACGCATGTATGCGCAGGTGTGTATCTGTACAAACCTACCTACCTACAAGCGTATGACTTGACAGTCGATGTCTTGACCTGTGCTAACAGTCCAACAGTAGCAGGGACAGAAAACGAGGGCATCAAAACAAAACAACCAAAAGGAGCGCAGTAGGTGCCAGCAACAGCTATGTTCATAATACAAGTTCCTAGACGGGTGTTGGAATAGGGTTTGCATGTGGGAATTTCCCATCACTATTGAGTAGAAATTAGGACCCCTACAAGGCATACTGGAATTATACTAGGAAATATTCAGGCTTCCATCATGCTTCAGTTTGTTCAACTGCAGAGAGCCTCAGATTACGACACCTGAAGTTACCTTCCAACATCAACATCCTCGCGACGTGTGACATAGGAAACATCATACGAAGAACAAAGGCTCTCAAGCATGCTACAAGCACATAGTGATGCTTGCAACACAAACAGTCGGAGCACCAAAACCTGAACTCATTCAACCCGCAAAAATCCTCAGCCCTAAACCCAACTACTGCTGAGCCGCCACCGCTTACCCTAAATCAGCTCAAAACCCTGAACCCTAAACCCTAAATCGCAGATCTGAAACCCTGAATCCCGAGAAGCATGGCAAGGCCTCTGCATGGCCGGTCTGCCAAGAGAGCTGTGACTCCATCCGGTGTTCTGCATCCTGAACTGGGCTTATCTATGCACCTCGGTTTCTGCTCCGTTGTGCTTTTTCTTTTGTTTTTGGGGGTAGGTGGGCGCCGAAGGACTGTTAATCCTCCTGAACTAGCAGGCATGTAAGTATCTGCTCTATCAGCCCTCAACTGCAGGGAGGCCCCCGTGCATTGTGATACCCTACTTCCAACACACAATCAAACTTGGATTGTTGTCAGTGTTGTCATCGTGATAGCCGTCAGAAGGTTCAACCCTAAACCCTCAAC